CCCCAGCACCGCGCGGGGGCTGTGTGAGAAGCCACAAAGCCCCGAGTTCCTGAAAGTTTTACCTTCTCCCCGTGGCCTGGGCACTGGCAGCAGCTGCTCTGAACCTCCTGGGGCCTGGGGGTGGCCGTCGCCGTCCCTCTGCCTGCACGATGCTGCTGCTGCTGCTCTTGGAGAAAGCGTCGTTGTTCGTGTTGCCCTGAAAGAGCAGCGAGAGCTCAGCCACTGCCCCCAGTCCCACAGCCTCGGTGCACGAAACAGCAACCACACAGGCAAGGAATGGTTTGGGCTGGAAGGACTTTAGAGCTCACCCAGTTCCAACCCCTGCCCTGGGCAGGGACACCTTCCACTAGAGCAGGTTGCTCCAAGCCCCTGTGTCCAACCTGGCCTTGAACACTGCCAGGGATGGGGCAGCCACAGCTCCTCTGGGCATCCTGTGCCAGAACCTCAGCACCCTCACGGGGAAGAGCTTCTGCCTCAGAGCTCATCTCAGTCTCCCCTCTGGCAGGTTCAAGCCATTCCCCTTGTCCTGTCCCTCCATCCCTTGTCCAAAGCCCCTCTCCAGGTCTCCTGGAGCCCCTTTAGGCCCTGGAGCTGCTCTAAGGTGTCCCCTTCAGGAGCCTTCTCTTCTCCAGCTGCCCCAGCCCAGCTCTCTCAGCCTGGCTCCAGAGCAGAGCTGCTCCAGCCCTCGCAGCAGCTCCGGGGCCTCCTCTGGCCTCGCTCCAGCAGCTCCACGTCCCTCATGGAGTGAGCACAATCGCCAGGACACGACCATGCTTCCCTCTACTCCTGCTTTGATCTGGCATTTTCTCTGGCTCTGTCTGGTGGGAATGACCCCATCCTACCCTGCGGTGCGAGTGCTGATCACTGACTTGGCCGTGGTTCCCTCACTGCTCTCAGCACCACGTGCATTTGCTTCAGAGGGGGCTCATCCCTGTGCTGTGTGCTCAGCATTCCACATATTCTCATTCCCAACTGTTTTTCCTTTGCAACTTCAGTCTTGCAGCAGAGCAACCCTGCTCTGCTGGTGCTTTTTATTTTCCTTCTTTGATATTTTCTTGCTGGGACCCAATTCCTCACTAACTCTATTAAAAACTGGTCTCTTCCATGGCCTTTTGTATCTACGCCAGGAATATTTCTACCGAGCAGTGTTGCTGTAGGCTCAACATTTAGAGTTAGTATCCACTGCTGTCAACACTCAGTTCCTGGGCATGAAACTACAAGTACCAGGAAGAGCATTTCATGCCAGTGGTGCAGAAACGTAAAACCAAAATGAGTCCATGGAGAGCAAACCTCACCCAAGCAAAGCTTTGTAGGTTTGCTCATTTCTTTTCAGTCACTGACTCTTTCTTATTTGGACACATCCATTGCCCACTCCAAGCCCTGAAGCATGAAGCTCATCAGAAGACCCCTCAGCAGCATAGGGTCCTCCTCCAGCTGCTTAATACAAACTGCCACGGACTCCAACCCATTCATTTCTGTGGGACAACCACCATCAGTGTTACTCCCCACTAACTGGGCTGTGTTTCCACATTCTTCCCCCTTGGTTTATTTCTGCAAAATGGAAGCTACAGCAGAATTATGCCTCCTAGCAACTGCTTATTCCTTCTGATAACACCCAGCCCTGCACGTTAGCTGAGTCATCCCACTTTCTTTTCAGGAATAACCACACACCATGCACATACATGCTCAATTAAGGCTCTCTCCTTTATACCCCTGGGACACAGCCATGCAATGTCCCATCATGTTCACCACTTTGGTGGGGTTTTAAAAGCTTACTGAGAATACACAACCTCCTAATTGAGTGTATCTCCATCAGTGCAGAAAGAACAATCCCCTCTCACAGAGGACTATCTATTCACTTGATTTCCACCTTCTACACCAAGCCAGTTTAATGTGAGTGACACTCAGCAGAGAGCTGTTAGAACGACTTTAACGGGAAACACGTCCCTTCCTTCCCATCTCCAGTGTTAAAAATAACTCAAAAACCCAAATGAAAATATTTCAATCTTTTCTAAGTGTTTTTGAGCAGAGACGAGACCAAAACATTTACACTTGAAAAAAAGGAAAGCCATGAATGAAAAATAATGCATTTTACAGGGAAGCATGTGAGCAATCTGTCCCGTGGCTTTCTAGTCCTGGGAATCAGTGTGTCAAAAGGGAGATACCCACTTGTTAGTGAGAAGTACCTCTCTGAACCAAAGCCACCTGAAGTCACCAACAGCCTGTCCTTTGCCTTCACTACATGCTGGAAAATGCTCTGGGTGAAGGACAAATAATGGTGAATCTTAACACGCCTCCTCTAAATGGCAATAGTAAGATGAGATGAATTGGAATTTGTTTTTATGGAAATATTTTAAACTCTTTTAAGAACACATTCCTAAAAAATCTGGTTTTGTAAACCCCTTGGGAGCCGATTCAGTCCAATTATGCCAAGTCATAAGCTTATAAAGCCAACTGGAAATTGCTATTTTCTATGCGTGTGTCTGCACTCACCTCTGCATACAAACATGGTTACAGGCACAACGAGACAGTGCCTGGACGTTTGTTATGCAGATTGTCCTCTGGGGAGATCCGGGATCATAAACCCCTGCAGGTTTCTGCAGGACATTTGGGAACAGCTCTGCCTTCCTCACCCCCATACCTCCGGAGCCGATGCCTGGCGATTTAAAGGGCTCACTCCATTCAATGCACCAGCTGCTCTTCTCCTGGGACTGGGCACAGCATTCCTGAATTGTCTCCGGTTGAACTGTTGTTGTCCAAACCCTCTTCTAAAACGGGCAGGTCCTATGAAAACAAACTCTTTGTTCAGCATCCTTCAAAGCTCAATTTACATTTACAGTTTTGCCAGTGGCTTACACGGTTAATTTAATATGATACAGGAGTGTCTGTATAAATAGATGCACGAATCACATTGATTTATTCCAGAAAAGTAAATTAACTTCTCAGAATATTAAATAATTCATCTTTCCAATAATAATCCTTATTCTATGTGGGACTCACAACCACTTACAAACCATTCTGTGATCCGATGGTTCTGGGATTTAATTTGAAAGAATATAAAAGAGAAAAGCCTTCCGCAACTCTGCCTCCTAATAAAGGCAGGAACACTGGCATCAGGAAACCTGTCAGTCTCTTGTCAGGGCTCCCATTGCTGGGAATTCACCGTGAAATGGAAAAAGCCTTTTGATACAGATAGATACACAAGTGACTCGAGCATTCAGCCCCACAGCAGCCTGGGAGAGCTCTAAGTGCCCACATTACAGCACTTGGTAAGCCAAGACCAGGCCATCATTTTAACATATTAATATATATTTCTTTAGTTATTTTTAGCATGGCATATCCTTATGTACTGTATATATTGAAGGGGGCCCCTTCTGCTGCTGCCCCTCACTGCACAGCACATACACACCACCAGCTTGTCTTGCATTTAGTGCCTTCCCCTAAGCCTGTTTATGACTTTGAAGTGTGCTGAAGCACGGGCAAGAGGAAGGCACCCCGTCAGACAGAGGCACAGTGCACTAAAGCCTAATTACTCCACATGATAAACTTCTGTAGTCATAATGTAGACCTTTTCCAAGTGGCTCTAGCAGTGAAACGTGCACATATACTCAAGAGTATCGATCACTTAGGCCAGGTTGGAGCAACCTGCTCTAGGGGAAGGGGTCCCTGCACGTGCCAGGGGGTTGGCACTCTGCATGAGCTTTAAGGTCTCTCCCAACACAAACCAGCCTGTGAGTCTATGATCAGGCATGGCAGAGGGCTGCAAGGCTGTGGTTAAACCCTGGACCTCACAGAATACACACTCCAGAGCAGTGGGATGCATGTATTGATCCTACACCATCAACTCCTGCATCCCAGCAATTCATAATGACTCGAAGCAATTAGAAATGAAGCATCCTGAGGCAGCAGTGATGTTGCTGTCAGGGGCCACCACCACAGTGATTAGTGAAGGCTCCAGCCCCAGGGTGTGTCAGTGGCTGGCGCCAGTGTGGGCTGGTTACACTGGAGTCCAAGGCAGGGTGACTCAAGCTGCTCTGGCTCTAAAACAAAAGGGCACCAGGGCATGTCCGTGGGAAGCAGCTCCTGAGCAGCACATGAGGGTGCTGGTCGGGAGCACCCACAGAAACATGATGCTGTTCACTAGCGCTGTGGGGCCAGTGGTTATCTTCCTTGCAAATGATGGTATTTTCTCAGTGCAGAAGTGCAGGTGTGTAAATGTTCTCCTGACAAACACATGACCTTTGGCGATCTGTGTCTTTCTGACCAGAAGCGGTCTTGCTGTGCTGAACGGCCTTTTTTTTCCCTTCTGGATCTGTCCCCACAAGAAACCTGGAAAGGGGCTTTGGACAAGGGATGAAGGGACAGGACAAGGGGAATGGCTTTAACCTGCCAGAGGGGAGATTGAGATGAGCTCTGAGGCAGAAGCTCTTCCCTGGGAGGGTGCTGAGGCGCTGGCACAGGGTGCCCAGAGGAGCTGTGGCTGCCCCATCCCTGGCAGTGTTCAAGGCCAGGTTGGACACAGGGGCTTGGAGCAACCTGCTCTAGTGGAAGGTGTCCCTGCCCGTGGCAGGGGTTGGGACTGGAGGAGCTTTAAGCTCCCTTCCAACACAAACCAGGCTGTGATTCTGTGATAAAATCCCACAGCAGCAGCATCTGGGGAAGGGCACTGTGTCTGGGTGCATGCTCAGGGCATGGTGCTGAGCACACCTCAGTTGGTCAGGAAGCTCCTCTGCCCAGCAAGTCCAGCCTGGGAAGAAGCCCTGATGTCTGACAGACTATTTTTCCAAGAAGATTTGAAATTCAAATTTCTTGCCATTAAAAATCCTCTTTCCCCACTGGGGAGATTGTTTAAGCCATATTCCTGGAGGGTTAACGCACTTCGCTTGCATGAATTCTCTTGCTGGTTTCATCAGCATAATACCCCTCTCTATCCTCTGTCATTACAGCACTGGGCTGATCTGATTGTCATTTTGATAATGGTTATCACGTCTCAGCCCTGAAGGGTCTGCGTTTCAGCAGGGACCAAAGGGAAATGAGCCCCTGAGTAATTACGGGCTAAATTCCCAGTTGTGCTGTGCTTCACAGAATTGCTCCGGGCACCAGCACCACACAGCATGGTGAGTGTCTGCACTTGGCAGGGCTCAATTCAGACTCAGTTCAAGCCTAGGAAATACTAAAAGTAGCAGAAATAAATGTAGAAATGAAGAGGAAAGTTCTCTGTTCTGAGGAACAGCTCAAACAAAGTATTTTGTTTGATTTATTTGACCCTGAGTAGTCACTTGAGTGTGGAAGAATATCAAAGCCTGTGCTTTTGACTGAGAAAATCAATTTGCAAAGGGCAACAACCATCATCCTGTTCTGAACTGGAACGATTCTGTGGTGGAGACCAAGAACATGGGAGTGGAGGCAGACCAGAGCCAAGCAGGATGGCTCCCAGCAATCCCACTGTCCTCAAGTGCCACTGGCACTCTAGTGGAAGGCTGCAAAGACACTGCTCCAAAATGCCACCAGAATCTGCACTGAAGGGGTTTAAAGGAAAAACAATAAAGCAAAATGGTGCTAGAGATGGCATTTCATGCAGCAGGTAACGGTGGGTTTGCAGGTGAAAGCTTGTGGAACCAGAGATCAGTGTGTGATCACTTGGTATCATCATAAAAATAGCATGGTTGGCAAAAGTGACAAATTAGCTCCAATAACTGAGCTATCAAAGGCAGTTACTGAAGGGGTAATTTAAGTATGTTCTGGGAAAAAGAGGATTAGGAAGAGGCATAATTAAAATATGCAAAGCTAAAGGGAATAGAGAATAGATATTAAGTAGCTTTGAATTAGTTATTCATGAGAGGGTGGAAGGGAGAGAAATGGATGAATTTATGCTCTGAAAAGGCCCTGATATTCCATTCAGCAGAGAGAAAAGCTATTCAAAGCCCGAGTGCATCTCATACACACACAGGGATTAGATTGGAGAAGGACTTAAGAGCTGTATTTTATTACGCAAAAGTGTTTCCAGCTTGGCAGGCCTCACCTACCTTGCAAATTCCTCTGCATCCAGGCACGGAAGCGAGGCCGCCCATATCCGTACACCGAGTTCCTGGTCTTGACCTGCTGCCTTTGCCCGTCCCCCATGGCGCTGGCGTCCGTCTGCTCTTTTCGGTGGCGTTTTATAATGTCATCTAGATCAAAACAGCAAAGGGGAACGCTGTGAAACCTACCAACAACCCATAAAACCAACCAACAACCTGTAACACCCAACAACATCACGTTAAAACCAATCAACAACATGTTAAAACCTGCCAGAAGGGAGATTGAGATGAGCTCTGAGGCAGAAGCTCTTCCCTGTGAGGGTGCTGAGGCGCTGGCACAGGGTGCCCAGAGAAGCTGTGGCTGCCCCATCCCTGGCAGTGTTCAAGGCCAGGTTGGACACAGGGGCTTGGAGCAACCTGCTCTAGTGGAAGGTGTCCCTGCCCGGGGCAGGGGTTGGGACTGGAGGAGCTTTAAGGTCCCTTCCAACACAAACCAGTCTGTGTTTCTGTTGAGTATCACCCATCAGCAGACAGAACAAGGGCAACACCATGGGAAGAAAGTAAATGACAAACGAGGGCTCCGCTGTTGCTGTCAGCCCTCCCAGCAGCATTAAACCACGGGTGCATCAGCCAAGGGATCAGTTTGAGTTCACAGTGGAAAATGTTGCGCTATTCCTGACAAGTGGCTCATTGCTGGGAAGACGTGACACGAGCTCTCGGTTAGGGAGCTGACCCAGGGATGACTTGCCCATGGCAGGGGTTGGAACTGCGTGATCCTTAAGGCCCCTCCAATCCAAACCAGTCTGTGACCCGGTATGTTTCCTTCCCTGCCGCGATGTCAACGCGGTAACTCCCGGCATCGGCGGCGCCGCGGTTGTGTTTGTGCGGTTCCCGAT